GCCTTGCTATCTTCTTCGAATATTCTACAACATTTTGTCAAATCCGTAAACCTCCTTATTCTTTGATACCCCATAGCTTGCTTAATCTCAGGACGCAAACCACTTTCATACTTAATACACTTAGAGAACTCAGCATCAACTGCAGAATAATGAGGATGAAATTGAACCAATTCCACAAACTTAGCAGTATACTCAACCACAGACATATTACCTTGTTTCAACTCAAGAAATTCCATCTCTTTCTTCCCTTTCACACTTTCAGGGTAATACTTTCTCAAGAACTCAGTACGAAACAAATCCCAAGTGATTGTTTCCTCATTCACCTCAAGAATTTGACGCATACCGACCCACCAATCATCGGCCTTCTTTTAGCATGTGAGGTCCAAGCCTCACCTTATTACCTTCCGTACAATCCATGACTCTAAAGATTCTTTCAACTTCTTTCAACCAAAGCTGAGCACCATCAGGATCAAACCTTCCTTTGAAGACCGGTGGTTGATTCTTCCTGAACTCATCATTCGCATTCACATTCGGTGCACCCTATACTGCCCTAGCCATTGCTTCCATGGCAGCAGCCATCACAACATCATTTCTACCAGCCATATTCTGATTAACCCAGAAACAACAACAAGGTTAAACCACAGCTTAACTGTTAACAACAATAAGACAGACACAACTGACTCAACACTGGCTCTGATACCACTTAATGTAACACCCCCTTTCTGTACCTCCAAATAATCAAATAAATCATTTAGGCACATATAAAAATTCATTTATCAGAGTATATTTAAAGCATGGTACAAAAGAGGTGTGTCACATTATCTATGAAATTAAACATCCAACACCTGCTCAACAATCGATATGCAACAATGGGGTAACTTGCAACATAGGAACTTAGTCCTTACACCCACATCTCAAATATTTAGAATAAAAGCGGAAAAAATCTAAACATTGAATCACAACCAGCATGTATATACATATATACATATTCACATCGTCCAATATAAGTCATCAACATCATTCATGTTTACATAAACATGCATCACCAAAAATGCATATACAAATGTATCACCAAAAAGAGCCAAAGGCTTCCTAGCTACCCGGTGTTACATATCAGAGTCATCTGACCAAAACAATGAAGACACGCTTCACAAAAAGGGATCACCAGCATACCTAATCTGTAATGCCTCAAGGGCACCATAAAACAGCAGAAGGGTGAGAAATATTATCATAATAACATTGCATATAATTATATATCTCAATAAAACATATACACATATCCCATTCTCACCACAACTCTTCATCACACCTCTCATATACATCGCAACGTGTATATATATATATATATATATATATATATATATATATATATATATATATATATATATATATATATATATATATATATATATATATATATATATATATATATATATATATATATATATATATATATATATATATATATATATATATATATATATATATATATATATATATATATATAATCCAGGCATATTAATCCTGCACACTCCACAACTATCATCATTCACATAAACACACAGTTTATGTTCATTCCAATGTATCATTACAATGACACAATCCTTACCATTCCCTCTAAACAAATATATATATATATATATATATATATATATATATATATATATATATATATATATATATATATATATATATATATATATATATATATATATATATATATATATATATATATATATATATATATATATATATATATATATATATATATATATATATATATATATATATATATATATATATATATATATATATATATATATATATATATATATATATATATATATATATATATATATATATATATATATATTCATTTTTCTACACTCATTCATCAATACAATGATGTTATTCTCATCATTCCACATCAACATATATACATATAAATGTTGATTCAATCATCAGTACACACATACAAGGATGACAAATACAAATCATAGAGACCGACTCACGACTCTATGCAGATGCAATGCGGTACCGACTCATTCAGCAGGTTCAATTGAAGAACCAAATGGAACCATCGCTCGTTACCGAAGTAACTCCTCGTCGGGCCTACAATGTTCACGCATCGCTCACACCCCACATGGGCACACGATGTTTCAGGATTGCTCACACCCCACACGGGCACACGATTCAATCACTCACACCCCACACGGGCACATGATCTGATCGCTCACACCCCACATGGGCACACGATCTGATTGCTCACACCTCATACGGGCACACAATCCGATCAGCAGATTCTCACAGAATCAATTCAGCACAAGAATGCATGTCATGATGCATCACATATAAAATGACCACTACACTCTTGAAATGCATGCACATTCATAATATTTTCATGCATTCATCTCATATTATCACATACAATCCATATGCATTAACAACAATTATGTCAAACGACAACCAAACGCTCTAATTATTTAAACCTCACTTACTTAAAATAATTAATCTCGGTTAATCGGTAAAATCGGCTAAAAGTTGGCTAAAAATAATATTTATTTTCAGCAAGTTATAGAACATATTATTAGCTTCAGTTTGATATAAAGAACGACAAAATCCGATAAACGGTGAAGAAGTTATGAATTTTCAAAGTTTTGAAAAATAATATTTTTCTCACACTTACAGTGTTAACCGGTTAACACATTCTGTTAACCGGTTAACACACCCAGATTTTCAAAATTCTGGCGTATTAACACTCCGTTAATCGGTTAACGGATATGGTTAACTGGTGAACGGCTCCAAAAACTCAATTTTTAGGCCATTTTATACCGTTAACCGGTTAACCCAAAGCGTTAACCGGTTAACTCCTGAAAGTTTTGGAAAACAAGGTTACGGGTTTGTGCCAAAAACCCGACCGATTTAATTATTTTCTCCCGATTAAATACCTACTCATCATTACCAATCATATAGTAACAATTTAGGATCATAAAGCGCAAATTCTACGACTTCCAATTTTCATCCAAAATCTTAACCTCCAATTATCCAAAAATGTCAAAACTCACAAATTCAATCAAACGAAATTCAATAATCACGAATAAGCATTACCCGACTAAACTACGCAATTTATTTCGAGTTTCATCCGCGAAAACATCAGTTTATATCGATTTTTCCTAATTCGACCTAAACGGAAATGTGTCGAAAACAACCAAACAATTCCAACCAAAACATACATAATCATACACAATGATAAGAGAATAAGATTTCACACTCTTACCCGATTAAATCGAAACCTAGATGTTGTTCTTGATGATTCTCCAAGTTTTTCCTCTTTTCTCCTTTTCTCTCTTTCTTTCTCTTCCTTTTCTCTTCTTTCTTTCACTTATGTTTCTATTCTTTCTCTTTTTTCTCTCTTATCTCATTCTATTTTCTTTCCTCTTTCCACTTATATTTCTCTCTATTCTATTTCTCTCAAAATATCTATTAAATCCATTTTCTCACAAAATATCCAACTTAACATTAAATACTAAATGTCTAAAATACCCTCCAATCTATTTTCCCCGAAAACTCTTCAAATCGGTAAGATAGCATAACATACCATATTAACACATCAAATTCACAATTAATACAATTATTACTCAAATTAAACAAAATACTCAATAAAATGTAATAATCAAAATCGGGGCGTTACAACCAACACTTGAGGGGCTACTGTTCCGAACTGGCACAATGGCTAGGCATGTCCCAATCCACTTCTGCTCCCAGAACGACCCAATTGCCTAAGTCCAACCTCTTTGTGGAAAGTTTACTTCTGCCCCTCCAAAAAGGGAGGCTGACCTATTTACCATTGGTCACAACATTCCTCCCTATCAGTTTCTGCCTGTCACGCATGGTTCCACCACCCAGAAATAACCAAGACGCTTGTACCCGTAACTACGCCTCTGCTCGCGCCAACGACTAGTTATGGGCACGTCTGCCCGTCCCAACGGCTAGTTTTGGCAGTTACCTATTCTTTAAGAAACGGTCATCTCGCCCCGAAAATAGGGATCAATGGCCAAGCGCTGAGGGTATTATAAAAACCCTCTCATTTAAAAGGGTCAGGTATCCAATATTCACTCTGAAACACACATATTATGTACTTGCTCTCTCTCTTGCTCGTTTTCTTAGTTTAGCATCGGAGTGCCTTGCAGATACACCCCCTATTCCTTTTTCACACCCAGCATCACATACACTTGTTTTTATCCCATCTCAGATTATGATCGATATGTAAGATCAATATATATATATATATATATATATATATATATATATATATATATATATATATATATATATATATATATATATATATATATATATATATATATATATATATATATATATATATATATATATATATATATATATATATATATATATGATAGAACACTTTATTTATTTTGTATTGAATTCTTGCTCAACACTTTAATGCATATAAGAGAGTTAAGAGAGGAATTGAGTTGTAAATGTGATTCACTTATTATTCACACATAAGAGTGGTAAACTTATCAAATTTCTTTAGGCCTTCGAAAGTTAGGGGGATCTTTAACTATATTAAGTGGTCCAAATATCATATACAAATTTATGCTATTTGAAAGCACTTAAATTTTTTTATAAGTATAATTTTTCAATTTAAAATTAAATGAAAAAAACCCTGGTCACCGTATTTAACAACTATGGATTTAAACTTTTCTGTCAATATAACATAGCCATTAGAGATGGTATGTGTATTTTCATTTCAAAAGGTAGAGTTATTATATGGTTTCTTTAATCAACATCATATTGTTTCCCATTTTTTAATGTATACCGTAACACTAATTATATAAACTAACAACCATAGGCTTCAAAAAGTAATCTCCCCTCTAAATTAGAAAGAAAAAAACTATTTATTCAATACAACACCCAAAATATATTATACACCCAAAACAAATTTATGAATATAAAAATCTATGAACAATTTCTCAAGGGACTGATTTCCTATGACCACCATCAGCAGCATTAACTTCTCCCTGAGAAGACACATCAGCACCAGAAAGAGTAGGTGCCTCAGTTGCACCAGGTCCACGACCTTCCTTTGGTTGTTGATGACCATGAGTACCATAACCTTGATTCTTATAATCTTCCAAATCCTTGTAATTCAAGTAAGGACTATGCTCAATTACAAGCCCCTCAATGTTTCCCTTAGCTGAATCATTAGTTGCCTTTGTTTCCTCTCTCACAGCTTGCTTCTCCATTTTCTTTCTTTCTTGGCTTACAAGTTACATTCACCTCCTTTGATATATAGAACAAGACAAACATTGTTGTCCAATGGTTGTGTGTTTGGTCCTGTGTAACACACGTGGTGATTAAGGAGTGTTTTATGGACATGTTGTTTTGTTTTTATTTTTTGTTGTTTCCATTGGTAGTGTGCTCAAGTTAAGGTCAACCTCATAAAAATGTATAAGAAATGTTTTGGCTTAGTTGATTCTTCATATCAAACAGCGTAACATGGATATTGATCTTAAGTAAAATGTTTAAATATAAATAAAATATAATACAAGACAATAAGTAAAGATGTTGAAAACTATGTGAGATAAGGATAAGGAAGATCACGCCATATTTTTTTTCAGATTCGATAAAAGCCAACGATGCCTTCAATCCTAAGAAAAGCATCTTGAGATTTCATTATAACCAAGCATTTAACACATGTTATAATTATAACATTTACAACTTACAAACAAAATTCAAACAAAGGTCTTAATCCAATCTGAGAGATATCACCTCTCTTAATTTACAATGAAATCACACACAAAATATGATAAAAATTACACCACTAATGTAGATAAAACAAATTAAAACTTAAAAGGTTACAATACGAAGGTTATAAGGAATTAAAATATATAATTTTGAATTTAAAAGTTCAATCAAATCAAAAAATTTAATGGGTAGAGTAGAGTTGTCAAAAATAAGCTAGTTCACATGGATCGGTCTATCAGGCTTGAAAAATTGTAGGGTTTGGATCTTACAATTAAAGCTCATATTTTTTAGGATTTTTTCAAAATCCGCTATCCATTAGGACTAGCCCATATGAGCTGTGGATCGCCCATTAGACCCACAATATTATAAATTTCAAAAAAATTATATTAATACTTATATTGTCTTACTCTAAAATAACATATTAATTTTTCTTACCTTAAATAATTTCATCTCTATTATATTCAATATTTCTCTTTTAAATTTTATACATTATTATAATCAATATTATTTACTCGTATTCTATTAGATTATCTTATGTTAAATGTTCGAGTATTATTTTATACAATTTAGACACACATTGTATTTAAAAACACATTATAGTATTTAAAAAGGTAATATAGTATTTGATCTTACCTTATCAGAAATGAATCAGCAGTCTGTCACGCGTCGTATGCTCTTGTGATCACCAGTGTTGTGGAGGAGGAGGGAGTGTACCTGCAAGATACTCCGATGCTTAAGTGAGTAACGAAGTTAGAAAGCGCAAGTACAAAGAGAATAGGTGTAGTGAACGGAATACCTGACCCTCTAGTGAAAGAGAATATTTATAATGTGCTCCTAGCGCAAGGCCAACGGTTACTTTGCATTGGGCCAGATTGTAAGGCCCAATACGAGTAACTTTCAGGGCTTACGTGGCGTAGGGAAGACCATCAGGTGGTCTTTGCCCTAGATCAATTGTCCTGTGATCTTCGGAAGGTGGGCTTACCAGTTCTTTCGAAAGTGGGTAGTTGTCTAATGACGTGTCCCCGCGTGGGAAACACGTGGAAACGTGGGGGAGACGCGTGAGTACTCCTCGTGCTAGGTAGTGGTCTGCCCGACTGAGGGGCTTTGTTAAGATGTGTGCCCGACATGGAAGGAATGGATCTTGTTGGGCCTCCCCAACATAGTATTGGGTTGGGCTTGCCCGACTGAGGGGCAGACCTCGGCCCAACCTAAAATAGGAGCCCCCTAAGGCATTGCTCCTAAGTAGGGAGTAATGACTTAAGAGCAAGTTAGGGTGTCGAGGACCAGTTTAGAGGATTGTGGCTTGCCCGATGTCGCACCCTAATTTTTGACCATAAGATCTCACCTCCTTATGCGTTTGTGTATTATCCTTCTATTCTTGTGTGTATTTACCATGACTAACCAGCTCGCACAGGAAAAGTGAATTTTGAGTGCAGGTGGTATGACTTCTCTCAATCAAACACCCTAGGGCATGACTATTTTTGTCTGGACTTAAGGAACACTTACTGTGAGGATATATTGGACAATTACTCATGGTTTCACCTCCTTAACGTCGAGATTATCAAAGACAACCCTTTCCCTCAAAATCATCAGTCGAGAAGAAGTTTTAATAAAATGAAAGATTCAGACCCGGATATAAGTCATGGAACAAAGGATGAGGATACGACTTTTTGGTTTAAGACGATTCTTTTACTCTTAGATTTTGAAGTGATCAAGTGATTCTATTCGGCTTATGGATTACCAATGATATCAAAGTTTGATTCTTGACATATTAAGTTAAAACAGTTCGATGTGTGTGAATCTAGAACTAAATATATTAAGTAGAAAAAAGAAAGCTCGTATGCCAGTATTCAATTTGCAAGAATAAGAATATTTTATGTCAGTATTCAGGTGTTTTACATGAAGAATTAACTCGTCATCTCAAGGTGGGGAGGTTTACATCATCATTTGGATTCAGAAATTCGAAGAATTTAAGCTCCGTAAAGTGAGGCGAAATCAAGAGTTTTAACCTTTCCAGAGTTTTACAAGGAAGTGAAAAGTTCAACCATTCAATATTTTACAAAAAGATAAGAACAAGGTTCACATAATCCTTATTTTCAAATTAAAACTTGAGAGAACAAAGTCAAGGATATCACGTGCTAACACGAATCCATGTCCAAGATTTTCCAAACTCCATGTTATATTGAGTTTTCTCAAGTTGCCATTGTTTTCCATCTTTAAGCCCAGGAGTTTTGATGCAAGGGTGGAAGAAACTATTTCAGATCCCAATACATATCAGTTTTCATAAACTCAATGCAAAACAAGTAGCCATTCTTAAAATTCACGAGCTGCAAACACAACAATAAACAGAAGTTGGTAACAGTAATGGAAGTCCTTTTCCACTAAGTGAAAGCCTTATTTCGAATTTACTATACGTCACATGTAATGGGATACTACAAGCTTGCTCAACATACAAATTAAGCCTAAAGGAAACTAGGTTCTGCCTAATATACAAGCCCCAATAAGATTCAAGCCACAAGATATTATGGGTTGGTAATTATCTGAAACAAAGGCATGCACCCGACCAAAACAAGAGTGCAAGATCATTAACAATCTGTTTCTGCAAGAATTTTGAGAAGTTAAGGACATACGAGAATTTTCGAGAAAACTCTCCTCAAGCTGACGTCGGTGGCCAATGATTTGATTGGGGCACACACCAGGGCCTGCGGCACTTGCTTCACGATTTATTCATGGCTTAGGCTTTGTTCACCCCAGTCCGTCTTTGTGCCATTTCTGTACACTTGCCAGCATGCTGCTGTCATCACAGTTTCTTCACGTCCTCTAAGAAACATCATGTGTCCTGCAAAAATTTGAATATAATGTTAAAGCATTATGACCACATAATGTCGTCTCAAACACCAAGAAGTTCTTACCGGAGCCGGAATAGTTCAGTGTCATTGAGATTCCAGTCACATTTATGGTCTGATGGCAAGCCTGACTCTCTTTACAATGATTTTAGCAGCAGACCCAAAAAGCCACGTACATAAGTATCATATGCAGTGCCTTTCGCAGGGTATGAGTTAAGTTCGAGGCTACAAGGGCCAGGAAATCAAGAACCTTCATCACTTGTGGCTGCACAAACTAATGTAGTTCAACCAGGGAGTTAAAGTAGATTACCAAATGCTTTACCAAATGCAGATCCAGAAGAGTTGGGTAAAAGTGTTCTTGGAAAACGAAGCGTCCATGAGCTAGTCAATCAGGTTGATCTGTTGGAGAAGTTAGATCCTGAAGTTGCAGACATTCTTGGTGATATGGCAGAAACTTTTCTGGAGTCTATAATTAGGTTTGGTTGCTCGCTAGCGAAGCACCGACAAATCAACAACAACAAGTCAAGGCCTCCCGGTTCAGACTGTTGCGACACACTATCTTTCGGAATTGGAATATCGCATCAGTTAGGTTGCATCTGTTTTAGATGGGTACAAACTCGAAGACTGCAACGATAATGGAAAAGAAGAGTCAGACAGAAGGAAAAGCAATTATAACCCAACACAATAGCAAGACCCACCTTGGCAGCAGCCTGCAAACCAAACGGCGAACTAACTTTGTTTACTCCAATGAGATCTGTCATTATGATGGTGTTACCTCTACAAAAAGAAATCAGGCGGTGATTATTCAAAGTGGTGGAAGCAAAAAAAACAAGTATGTTGTAAAAGCATTGAATGAAATTACGATTCATCGAAACGGAGACAGTTTGAAAGCAATTTACCTAATAGAGAACGCATTCACGTTGGTACCATCTTGAAGGACGACTACCTCGTGTACTTTCCTCCTGAAACAGACACAAACCTGTTGAGAAAGAGATGATCGGCAAAACTTTGGTCTACAAGTGTATTAATCGAGTAATATTACGAAACGCAGAACAAGTATCAATTTCATTAAGAACCAGGATTTATTTCCTAAATTAAGAGCTGAAAAGGGGAACTTATCTTGTTTTCTCGTTAAGGTTCAATTCACCAAAGGGGAAGGCCTGCCGACATGATCAGAATACCTTTTGATTTCCATTTACGTTGTTCTCTGTAAAGTCAAAAACAAATTGAGTTATTTCCAAAACAAGGGCGACAACATTACCATGCCATAAAGAATGAAAAATCAAAGTTTCCATATGCATTCAAGCATATTTGTCAATTTAGGAAAGCACCTTAAAACCTAATTTATTTTTTAGGCCTATAAGAAGAAAGGAGATCGAGATGAAGAGTTCAGATTTCACAAATACAAAACATACAACAGATCGTAGAAATCCACAACCCAACACGGGAAAACCCCAAAATTCTCCAAGTCAAAAACCCAAATCGAAAAAAGGTGAACTTATCTCGTGATATCCCCCGCCGTCGCCGGAAATCGCAAAGCCATCACCCCGTCAAGACTTTCGAAACTCTATCACCATCCTTCGCCACTGAGACCATCGCGCCGGAAGCTCTCATTTCGCCTTTTCCCCGTTTCCACTTCGAAACCACCACCG